GTTTTCTCCTGTTTATTGGCTAGGAGTGAGGTAATTTTATTTTGTTCTTTTGTATAGGGAAGACCATTTTAAAACTAGTCTAAGAGCCCTTTTTGTTTGTTGTTTTGGGCCGACTAACCCACTGAGTCTGAGCTACGTACCTTTCCCTTGATGGAGAGAAAGAAACTTAAAAACGCCAAAACGCACGAAACTGGGTAAAAAAAAAAAAACTATAAAAATAAGGCTACAAATACCCAAAAGATAAATTAAATACAATTCAGGCAATATCAAATTCAGCTTCCATCCTGAAGGTCCTCTTTCCATATGTCACCTGTTATGAAATAAGTAGGCATGAATATATCCTTATATTTATAAATATTTTTTTAAATGGCAAGTAGACATTAAATTTTGTATCTGACAATGATTACATAATGTGAAAAATTAAACCAAGACCTTGCACAAAAACATGAAACCAAATTAATTCAGTGTTACATAAACCAATTAAGTTGCATTTCTGTAGTCGGTTTTGCACTCAAGAATCATTGATACCTCCTATGTTGAACAATAATAACCTGACACAGTAACCTAAAAATTCAGCAAGCACATGCACATACGTTTTTAAGTGAAGATTTCTGTTTATTTCAAGCAACATGGTAAAACATCCTTTTATTGTCATGGAAAAAAAATGAGCAATACAAAACTGCATACAAATGAACAATACAGAGGTGCATTGTATGAAACGGGCCTCTGTGACATCATCGTATCCAGTCACATTGCCAAGCAACCACTGAAGCATTTTTGGGCAGGGACGGCACTATGTGGGAAATGCCCACACACACATTCACAGACGTGTCATATTTGACCTTCCAACTGCCATGCAAAGAATAAAGCAGATGGCAGGAAAGGCCAAATTCAACAAGTATTAAAGAATCAATGGCGCAGCAACTCTTTTCAAGTACAGAATCAGGCATATCAGATGATTCTCTTAGTTTAACGGTCTCTGGTTACATTCAAATGCATGTATGGACATGTTAATAGTGTGATAGTCAAAGATGTTTGATTGTACATATTCTAATCATTGTCATATGTGCTTTGGCGATTATCAGTTACAAAAACCGCATTTGGTTTGGTATCTAAACTACTACTTTTACATTTGGCTTTGCGTCTAACTCAAAAAAATAAAAATTGCAAGAGCCGAGTAAAAAAAAAAAAAAAAAAAAAAAAAAAAAAAAAAAAAAAAAGAAGTGAAGTCACCTTATTGCACAAAAGAATTTGCCATCAGAACACATTCACTGGGTTTCAAAGGGAGATCTGAATACGCTGATACTGAAGAGCTTGCTTTGGCGACCAACAGTGGTACCAGTTGAACACTGCATAGACTTTTCTGAGATTCATGAAGCAAACTTGTATTATATTGTATTAGCAAATTGACAGAACATAATCATATAGAGAAACAACAGTCAATGCAAAACATTTGAAAGGAAACAGTCATTCAGTTTTAGGAGCGACAGTAACAGTGATTCTAATTAGATGAAAAGGAAAAGGGAAAGTGAGGAATGAATCAGAAAGTGCAGAATAAAAAAAAAAAAGGAATGAAGAGTGACAGACTTAAGGGGGAAAAAAAAACAAAAAAAGTTAAGGAGAAAGTATAAATGAGAAAGGATATGTTTTAGTACAGGTTAAAAGCAGATGGAAGAAAGGAAGTGACAATGATGGCTATGGCTAATAGAAAACCACACTGGACTTTCCACCTGGTGGGTTGAGCACTTTGTTGTGAGAGCGAGGGCGGGGTCCGAGGCGTGGCTCGTGGTCCTTTCCTGTTGGTTGCCACATTGCTGCCTCAGAATTCTGATTGGCTGCAGGTGCAGGGGCTGCTGGCTCTTTTTCAGGTGTTGGTTGAGGGGTCACTGGCTCCACCTTCACTTCCTCAACTGCAGTCTTTTTCTTAGGCACTGGGGCTGCAAGTGAGAGAAAAAAAAAAGGTGGGAAAGGGAACTGCCTGCCAACAATAAACACTGAGGAGAAACAAACTGGGGCATGAAGAACACATGACTAATGTTCGGTAAATCACAGGTTCTTTTTACCTGGTGGATCTGGAGTAGCAGGTACACCCACACTTAAATTGTCCTACAGAGAATAAAAGGGCATTAGAGTTGAAATGGGTGGACATTTTCAGATTTTAAGAATTTTGTGGAAAACAAATTATGAATTTGTGTTGAGTCACATACACTCCCATTCAAAAGTTTAGGGTTGGTACATTT